TTTACACTAATTTCGGTGAACCGCGTTATACCACCGAATAAGGGATAATCGTAAACCGCATCCCGGCTGTACTCGCTATTCGTGCGATAATCTTAACGCAGCTCAAGTCTCGATGAAACGAAATGGTTCGAGATGGAAAACGTGATAATTCCAGAATAGATGGATTAATATCATCGAATTTCTATTCCGAATGCGGGTTAAAAAGTGAGAATAAAAGCGCGAAATATTTCAAAGATCCGAATATAATAACGACTTAAGTTCATTCCCGCTGTTATAAAATTTTCTTTCCGCAACCTCGTTCGGCTTCGATTTCTAAGATATCGCACGAATCGCTACTAATAAAATTCCATCCTCTCTCTCTCCCGCTGTTTTCCTTCGAATCATTCAAATTCCAGATCTCAAGCTCATTATTCAAGCCCGCGCAAGGCTACTTACGCCGTTATTACACCTAACTTCACGACTTCGAGTGCGTAAAACCGGTTCTCGCTTCCTACATACGTCCGTGTATGCGCGCGAACGAAAATCGCGCGCTACCGCGAGCGGGTCGGAGCAGGGACAAAGGATTGTTAACCGCCACGCAAGCGGATAGGGTACTCATTACGGACGGAAATCGTAACCGTTCTCGTTTGACGCGCCGTGCACTTTTCCAACGACTTCGCGCGAGTGCCAGGACGAAAATCGCGGCCGCGCTTCGTACACATCGTGAGATACGCGCGCGTTCGTGGGACAACCTTGAGCGTTAAATTGAAATACCAAGCAGCCCCGGCGCGACCCACGCAGGCACGCACGTATGTCGAGGTGGAAAAACGCGCGGCGCATTCACCGTGAACGACGCGCAGATACGGATCTACGATCGTTAGGGAGAGCGAGGTGAATCATAAACTGCAGCGATCGCGATGGCTCCCGCAGCCGTTATCGGCGATAAGCAGGAATTCCCGCACGCCCGCATTGTGTGTAACGCGGCGTTAGCGCGCTCGTGCGCGTCGAGAGAATCTCTCTCTCTGTCTTTCTTGTCTCGGAATAATAACAATGCCCCGCGGGCCGCGAAGTCAATGTGGAGCAGCTGCGATCCACGTAATGAAAGTATGATTGATGATCCGGCCGACGCGCATCATTAGCTCGACACGGAGGAGCGCACCGAGGTGGATATGCATGCCTGACGAGTCCCGGCAAGTCGTGCGCCGCCGCGGTCGTCGTCTCGAGACGCATTCTGAATTAACGTGACTACGTCCTAATACGATTTCTCGCGGGGCTCGCGTGAGAAAAGTCGCGGCACGATCCGCGAGTACGTGTGGACAGGCGGCGGAGCCGCTCGTGGGATTTCTGCGTAATTAATGGGCGGACTTGTGCGCGCGAGAGAAATGAGGAATTTGAGTGCGCGCAAGATTGCGAGAAATAAAACGATACGGTGCACGCGTTTCGAAGGGGAGGCACGTTGATATTCGAATTAACGACGGAGAATGTTTTATCCGACTCCAGGAGCGTTTCAATCGCTATTGATGTCGCTCGGATTCGCATTAATACGCCGTGATCGCGACCCGAGTAACTGACTCGCCACTTACCCGGGTCTTTCGGATATTATCGGGCTACTCGAAATTGACGTCATTAATTTGCATAGGATAAAATTGATCCAACTGACACACCGAAAAATGTCTCGATCATCGGTGCGAAGCGTAATGACTCGAAGAAGGAGTAACAATTTTTGTGTACCGTCACCGATCGCGAGGGGGCGTTTATCTCGCTTCCGTTGGAACAAAATTTGCCCTGGGGTCTAATGCTTCGGCTATTAAGCTTTAATGGACTGCCGATCGTCGATGGTGAAAGAGCGAAAAAGAGAAGAGGAAAGAGAGATATCGAGAGAAAGGGGAAAAGGGCAGCGGGCGGAGAAGGAACACGATCCTGGTCTCCGAGGAATCGGAAAAATGGTCACGAGACGTACGAACTCGCCGGACCTTTCTTCGCGTCCATTTCGCCCACGAAAATATCCTCGTCTACGTCATTCTTGAACCGCGATAATCGAGCGAGACGAGGGGGGAAGGAGAGAGAGAGGGGTGGGCTCTTTCGCGTAACACCATCGATTTCAATCGTGCAAAAGGTGCGCCAGTGAAACTGGTTTCCCAGCCGGAGTGCGAGAAAACGGAGCGGCGGCATCGGGCCCGACGGAAGGGCTGGAAAGGTCGCGCGGGTCGTCTGTTTGTGGCGCGATGGAGCTGTGATCAGGATTGACTCGGGATGATAATCTGGCGTACACGGGTTTCCACTTTACCCGATGCGGACGACGACGACGTTCGGGTCGTCGGGTTCTCGTCGTCCCCCGATACCGGGGGGTCCCCGCCTACCCCCACCGCCCATCCTCCATCTCCCCCTCCTGCCGTCCTCGTGAATATATCCCTTTAGCTGCCGCTCGAATTCGTCGGCGGCACGTATGCATCGCGATCATCGACTCGGTGATGCTCGGGGAAAGAGCGTCGCAACGCGATAACGCGCAGGTGAATTTAACGTTCGTCGCGGAGGGGAAGGGTTTATCTTCGTGATACTACCGGTATCTCGTCGCGGGAGAGGATACTCGTGACACGACCTCGTCATGGTCATCGGCTCTTTCGCACCGTTATCCTTGCAAATCGACGATTCGCCCGCGAGTTTGAATAAAATTTCGGGGGTGCGCGGACGTTTACGGCACTCGCGCGGAAGATTCTCGCGAAGATACTCGAGCGTTCAGTGCACTTCGGTGCACGATCTGTCTTTCATCCGCGCACAAAAGGTCCGCGAGGGCGGACCGCGGGCCATCATTCGCAGAAGTTGCCGAGAAAGGGAAAAAGAGAGAGAGAGAGAGGGGGGGGGCAAGTGCGGAAAAAAAAGAGAACGATTCCTTGCTATCCCAGAGAGCGCGTTCCGCGGATACGTTTGGATGGTGAATGGCGGATAAAGCGCCCCTAAAGCCCAGTTTCGGCAGAGCAAACAACCCGTAACTCAGTGAGTGTTTATGAGGGGGCCAGTCGTAAAAATACGAGGCGAATCGACCGCTCTTTCTCTCTCTTTCTTTCCGCGTTTCGACCGTTTAGCCGGTCCACCCTCCTCGGCCCGAACTTTTCCTCCGGCGGTCTTTTCCGCGACGCTAGCCGGGACAAAGACGCGGTCGACCACGGATAAGGACGTAAGAAAAAGACGGGCCGAGAGAGGGCACGATCGGAGGGTGGGGGGAGAGTTTCCACTGCGGCGGCGGAGCATGTTCCCCGATCGTAAAACTCGCTCTGATCACCGCTACCAATTATCCCGCCGTTATCCGAGTGTTATCCGAACGTTATCCGGGACGTTATCCACCTCTGCCCACCCTGTGCTCCACGGAAGAACCCTCTCGCCATCATCCGAATCACTACCGAGCCCTTGAACCCTACCCGGCCGTGCGAGCGAGAGAAAACGAGAGAGAGACGAAGAGGGAACGGTCCCACCCTAAACACGAAGGCCCGTTGTTGTCGCCTTTTACTGCAAACGAAGTGATTCTCTCCTCGTAAACGCGTCGTCTTTACAGATTACTCGACGGAGGAATATCCGGTTTCCTAATAATATCGAATTCGATTCCGTCGTATCGATCTATCCAGGCTGGACCGAAGGAGAATATTTCCGCGTGTACAATGGAGAGATACGTGTGCGCCTCGCGGGGTGTATTTCGGGCCGACCGAAACTATATTTCTCTTAAGGGTGACATCTCTTTCAGACGGGAATTAGCTCGATTAGTCGATAGCTCTATCGCAAAATAATGTCGTACATTGTGTATTCTTTATTTACCGCAAACACATTCATTCTCTAGCTCTAAAATTTGCCAGATGACTGACAGTCGTGGAAATTTGTTCGCATCGCCTGTGTCCACGCAAAGTCTGACTTCGCAATAATACTTTCTAAATCGCGAGACGCGAAACGACCATCGGACATGATACTAATCAGACACGCAAGAGAGAAGCGAAATTCAAATTTCCATCGTGAGCGTGGAACGACCGATAATCGAATCACGACGTGATTTGATTTAAAATGACGGATATTGCGGATGTACAAATATACACGACACCACAGGTTTCATTCGATTGAAATGTTTCGTTCATTGATAAATATCACCAAGAATATCCGAGACTGCACGAAAACCGAATCTCGGTTACATTAGGTATTAAAGATGATGCGGCTACGTTATATACGTTACGCTGAAAATTGTCAACTACGATAGAACTACCTGTAAAATGTCAACGGTTAATCGAGTTTTCCCCGCTTTACTGTCTACATAAGCACGGAACAGGGTCTCACGGGCCTCTAACTAAAGACATATATTGATTCTTTTATTAATCACGAGAACTAAAGTATAATATAAATTATATTAATATATATTCGGGAATCAATCAGGTGGATGAAAAAAAAATGAAAATAAATCAGCATTTTTAGAGATGATTTGACAGTATTCATTTTTTATATGTTTATACAAAGTATATATAATGATATAAAACGATGTACTCGATTCTTCGATAAAGTTAAACGTAAAAGTGTAGGATTGCGAGACCTGATACATTAAGAAGGCTATCTTACAATTTAAATTATATTAAATGAGATATAAACATTCAATTAAGTAAACAAATATGGATCATTTAATTAAGTGATTAAAAGTAATAACAATAACAATTTGATATTGAGATAGAGAGAAACGCAAATAATTCTCGAGAGTTGAAATTATGATTTATTCGTGATTCTCGACAATAGCCTTCAGAATTTTGTCAACACCTTTATATCGCGTAGGACAACGAAAATTTCGTTTTATTTTGAATCTAATACGCGCGAGATTTACGTTATACCGAAGACATTTACATAATCTTCGATAGATACAGGAAAATACTCATATGGTACATGCTCTTGAGGAACATACACCTGAGGTGCAACCGGCAGAATTGGCTCGATGTGTGTGTTTGTAGTATCGTATGTATATGTGTATGTGTCTGTTGGCAAAACTGGGTACAGCTTACCAGCTCGATTACTCTGATCGATCATCGGCTGGACAATTCTACGCCTTGCATTGATAAACCTGAAACACAAACAAAGTAGCGTTAATAAAACGATCGAGACTCGCAGTTGCTATGCTTAATAATTAAACACATATAATAGCTAAACACACACACATCTGATCAGACGCAGCATCTCACAATGTACGCTCAATTTTTCGCTCTCGTAAGGTCGCGTTATCGTCGTTCTTGCGAATATCTCTTTTATCTCTCCGCTTTTCACATGAGCTCCGATACAAGAGACTCCGTTCTGACGCAATCCTCTATCTTCGTAACAATCGCGAAGAAACGAACGGCAACCGACGAGAGAAAGAGAGAGAGAGACAGACAGACAGACGGAACCGAGCAGGAGCGGAAAAATCCGGCAAGGAGGAAGCGGCATCCTCGATACGTCATTAGCCGCGTTGAAGAAGCTTCCATGCGAGCGCTTTCCAAACAATAGATCTGCGGTCTGTTTCGATGTTGGTCGAGGTCCAAGAGGGTGGTGGGTTCAATACAGTGTGAGATAGGCAGGCAAGGGAGGCACGGTGAACTGAGAGAGAGACGCAGCGAGCGAGTGAGACGCGAAGAGGAAGGGCGTACGTCAGCCGACGTCAGCGTCGCGGCGCCCTAATGGGCGCAGACGCCGGAAGTGATTGGGTTTCCGCTCGACTGACTCGAGCACACCCCCTTCCCGTCGTACAGAATATCCCGGTTCCCCGCTACGGAGGGATAAGGAGGACGTAAGCAAGCCTCGAGGAAGCGATGGCACCCCTCTCTTGTTTTGCAACGCATCTTTCTTGCTTAGTCTCACGCCTGGTCGACTCTCTCCCGGGAGAGTCTTATGAATAATAATTATTAAACTCTCGTCTCTCTCTCTCTCTTTCTCTCTGTGGCGCGCACGCCGCCCGATATGCGCGCAACCCTCGGTGTGGTCGCTAGTTCGCGGAAGGCGTTCGCAAAGTCGCTCGGCAAGTCGCTCGTAAGTCGACGGAGTTTCGTTCGACAGAACAACCGACCCAGTGGAGCGACGAAGGACTTCCGAAGCGATTATTGTACACGCGCCCACGGAGGCGTGCAGAAATCGCCGTGAATTTTGACAATACCACCGATCGGATATCTAAACGCGCGGCGAATGATTCCGGAGATTATACACCGTGTGATGTGTCGATACCAATATCGTAATTCGATATCCGATGATACTGTATTCTATGTAATATTCACCATAACGTGGCTCGAAGCGCAAATACACGCCGCTCGTATCATCGAAATTATGAAACGGCGTTCTGATAAAATAAAATAAAACGGAAGGAGAAAAGAGGCAACGTGAAAACTTTTTCACGCATTTTTACAGGGAATATACTGAAAATATATAGGAAGAGAGAATAAGAGAGAGGGAGAGAGAGAGAAAAAGAGGGAACGTAGCAGATAAACCCGCTTATTTATTCAAACAGCAGTCGCACAAAGGAACATCAAAGTCATTCCGGCATAACAAGACTGTTGTAATAATATGCGAAACGATGGATCGCGGATACAATGCGACGATAGTTACGCGGTGTCACTTCAAAGTCAAGGCCTCGGCTATCGTTAGATGAAAGAGTATCGCCACGCGCATATGAAGCCGAGGGCTTCTCTCTCCGACCCCCCGCCCCCCCTCCCGAATACTCCTNGGCGAGGTAGGCAGCGTGTCACAGCCAGCTGACTACCGCCAACCACCCCCGCCCTACCACTCTAGCAGCCACCGCCGCCGCTGAAATATCGCCCGAACAATGGCGCGCCACCCCGCCAAACCGAAGCGAAAACGAGAGAGAGAGAGAAAGAGAAACGGGGTGAGAGAAGGGCGGCGGAGGGGCGAAAACGTGGCGGGCGACTGCCCAAACTCACTGCCGAAGAGAGTTCGGCCGCCCCGGCGAAAATCAACGAAAATACCTTCGCCACCGGGAAAACTTAAGCCCGCCACGTTGCGGAGACGCGACGGAATTTTACGGCTGACCTAACGCGTCTCGCCCCTTTTTTACGTACGCCCGTCGACAAAAACGTCGCGCGGTGAAAATTCATATTGCCACCCCTTTCTTTTAATGAGCTTGTCAAAGAGGGAAAACATCCAGAAAGAATGTTATATATATCAAAAAATATATTTTATATTATAAGCATATTTTATACGAGGCTGATATTGAAATTGTCGTCTATAAAAAAGCGCGGGACGCGAGTGTCGATGAAATAATCGTCACCTAGTCGACCGCAGACCCGACCGGTCCCTCATGGCAACAAGAGGGATTCGAAACGAGGTGAGCATATTGTTATCGAGGTGGCTGTCGAGTCACCCTAGATGACAAAACACTTTTCGTCGCACCCCCGTCAAGGCTTTCAGGATTTTAATGCAGTTTTGATTATGGATCCGAGGGAAGGCTTTCTCACGACGAGACCCGCGGCTGAGGAAACGACGAGCGGCCATTCGATGTACGGAAGGGTGGGTCGCTTCATCATCGCAATCTGTGTCCTAACTTGGTGCAGGCGAAATCAGATACCGTTGAATCGGTCATCTAATCGAGTAGTGAACATTAAAAGATATATTTCATTTATCTTGAAAAATTTTGCTTCCACATGAACTCTGCAAATTCCTCAAAACTTGAAGTATAAATACATTTCAAAATATATTATATATAGACTATTGAATTATATAATATTTGACTGTCTCGATATTCCAACTGCATTTAATCTTTATTTACAGCTTTTCAATAAACAATGTGCTGGTTAAATTTAATTATACTGTGACTTATTCAAATGCAAATGAGTATGTACGATAAGCAAATATTAAATAATGAGATTAACGGATAAATGAAAAGCCACAAACTTTCGTTTTCATTATTTATTATTATTCTTTATTAACGTTTGGTATTTCATTAAAATTTGAAGATTTAAGGAGGAGTGAGAAGAAAGTAGTTGTCGGTGTAAAGAAAGCAGTTGTTTGTACATAGCAACAAAGATTTAAATTTGAATTCGGTAGAACAAAACAGTGAATAGAAGTGAACAAATTCAAGGCAAGGTGAAGCTTGTATAATATTTTGAGAACATTGATTGTTTTGTTTCTCGGCTGCCGAGACTACATTATTGCACGTTATTGACTGGCGGCCGACGACGGTTAAGTAAGATAGGACAATATTTTATATTATGTCATATCATGAGATTCCCCGTTGATCCTGCAAGTCTAACGGGTATATGCAAGGTTACATAATGTAGAAGCAAAAATTTTAACTCGGATATTCGATAGCAAAATGAGCTAATTGTTTTCACTCTTCTTGTTTCCTCGGAATGTTTCGTTTCCGAGTTAAAATGAAAAATCATTAGAAATCGGCGAAACGAATCGGATGGCGAACAGACAGAAGATCGAGCACCCCGAAAATCGTGAACCGGTGAATTCCAAACGGATTTTCGGAAGGCGCGAAAATTATTGACAAATCGCTAACGTTCCGGGCTTACCTCGGTATCGCCGTTACTTTTTACGAGGAAACGAGGGGGAACCAACAACATATGACACGTTTCTGCGAGAAAAAGGCATAAAACGCAGCGCCGGGCCGGGACGGGCGCGCGTGTCTCCCACATGACCTCCCGTACCAGCGGCTAAATTTAGTGCACTTGGAGCGCATACATGAATAATGCCTGTATTTGCTTATATACGCGACGCACAGTCTCCATATATTGACTCGACCCTGCATAGCGTTTCGAGGGACACGATTCGAGATGGCTTCGGAAGGACGACTGCGAGAAGTCTCGGAATGGCTGTCGCGCGTCGAAGAAAATTCGCGTGAGCTCTCAAGTTAAAATCGCGGAGATCAGGGGATGTATAAGCACCCGGCAAGGAAGCTTGCATCGTGACGATTTAATATTATAATATAGTAACATAGTATTATTTTTTCCACTAAAACACGGTACGCATCTCACTTTGTTACAATTAATTTTTAACTACCTGCTAGCCGTCGAGTGTTTCTCACGAGATGATTTCCTCGCGAAGGAGGGTAACGCGGACTCGCGAGAACGTTTCTAAAACGACACGATGAGTGGCAACAAACACGAGAGAGAGAGAGAGAGAGATAGAGGGGCGGATTTCCTTGGTAGTTGCGGGGGTGGGCGAGCGGAGTAACGATGATTACTGTCGCGCTAGCAGCATTTACTCTCCGACGGCATTCGCAATTATCGGGGAGCTTCCATTAGTTAACTGCAGTCGATACGCGGTGCACCGGGGTCCTCGCATCAAAACATCATTACTGCCCGGACATGGGAGCGCGCGCGCGAGAGAGAGGGAGAGAGAGAGTAGAGAGAGAGGAGAGCCGCCGTGCTCGCAGTACTATTGGTAATCAATTTCGCTCCCGTGGCGAACTACCGGCGAGAGCCGCGCGCCGCTAATGCGAGGCCTCGGCGTTCGCGTCGCATTACGGGAAATCGAAAAGGCAGTCTCATAATGATTACGCGTTAGGAAACGGATCGGAGCGACGAGGAGGCAGGAGCGGCGGGCGGAGTCGCCGCCGTAAAAGGACCGCTTTAATTAGAAATCGAACGAGTGCGCGAGAGAGTCGAAGTAATTTCCGCCGATGGAAGGTGGGAGGGAGGGAGAGGGCAAGAGGGAAGGAGGGGGAGAGAGCGGGAGGGGAGGGAAGGTGGCAGATTGAAGTAGACGAGAAGCTCGAGAGTGAGAGAATGGCGTCGCGTTTATTATTAGTGCGCGTGGTCGAAATTTATTATTATTATTATTATTAGCCGCGGAATCGGCTGCTTTACGCTCAACGAGGATTTCAATCAATACGGGGAATGTATGTGTGTGTGTGTGTGTGTGTGTGTGTGTGTGCGCGTGGAGTAATCATAGAGAGTAATTATTTTTATCGCGCCGAGACGGACCGTTGCGTGCGAGAGCCACGAGCACGCGGTGTTAGGTTATTTGCGTAATTATCCCTTTCCGCCAGCGGGGGGGGGGGAGCAGTTAATGAGGATCTGACCTCGCGCAATCCTATCGGCGATCAATTTTTGCCTCCGCGGCGAATTACCCACG